TGAAAAAAGATGCAACATCCCATTTCAGATGATGTTTTTCAGTCGTTTATCAAGAATTTTAGTTCAATGGAAAGTTGAAGGACAGAGCAGAATGGGACGTTATTTATCACAATCACTGAAAATTGAGATTTAATTGTTCTGCTCCACGGTGCGACGCAGTGGAAAGGATGTTGCGGCGCGGTGTCGGCCCTTGGGTTGATGGCCTTTTCTTGGTATTTGGACCTATATAAGGAGTTATAAACCCTAGGGTTTGAAATTTACACCCTCTATAGCCTCCATAACCTCCCTTAATAGAAACCCTAGCCTTCATACTTGGTTTTGAGCTTGTTCTCTTGATTTTGTGAAGCAAGGAATTCCGTTTTGGTGTAAGGAAGCAAGGATCTTTCTTAGATCCATCATCAACATCAAATTTATGAGTCATTATAGGTATAACATTCAAACCTTGACCTTTGCTTTTATAGATCTAAGTTTATTCACCTTCTGGATGGTTTTGAGTCCCTTTCCTATATATCCTTAGATTTGAGCAACTCTTGGACCATTTAAATGACACAAGTGACTTTTGGAATTGAGTGTTTGAGGAAAGGTGTGTTTGCATGCTTCCTTTTGAGGTCAAGCATGTGTCTTGGTTCACTTTAAAGTTAGGTTTAGAGTTTAGGTGCATTTGAGACAGGCAAATGGATAAAGTTGGAAACTTTATCTATTAAGACCATTAAAGTTATCAGATTTGAGCTTTTGTGATTTTTAGATTAAAGGTTAAGTGCTTAATCCATTAAATTGTTTTGGATGTTCACCACGATGTGGGTGGTTGGCTACGGTGCGGTAATGAGGTTTGACTGCAACTATCCTGTCGTGTAGCTACCACTACATGGTGCATTGGTTGGCCACGATATAATGGTTTGACCGTTGATCGTTTACTTTTTGACCAGTTTGACTTTTAGTCAAACTTGAGTAGAATTGGGTATTTGACTAAGGGTTGGTTTCAGTTTGACATTAGGTAGCTTGCATTATTTGTTCTTTTGCTTAGGTCGTTATTGAGCTTTTGTTGTTTAAACCTTATGAGTTTCCTCACTATACTATGTGTGACAATGTATATCATTGCATCATAGGATGTATATGAGTAGGTATGTTGGTTAGAGTACCGATAGATTGGTGATTACCGAAGTGAATATCGTAGGGGTTGTATGTATTCATGCGAGAAAGCCTGAGAACTCTTGATCTAGGCTTTCTTGCCTGTTCCTTATTTGGTTGTAGCTTTAAGGTAGTATCATATGTTTGATTTTCTATCTTATCTTTGATTACATATAACTATGCATTCATTTAGTGATTTGTTAGTAGTAGCATAGAGTGCAATATGAGTCCTATGTATGATATGAATATGTTGTAGTGCCTTGTTGATAGGTAGTTTGGTTTAGACAGTTGCATGTGTTTTTGGATTATTGTTTTTATGTTTTGTATATATGTCGACATATCTTCTGGCGAGTTAAGGGTGATCTTGCCTTGTGTGGTAAGCCAAGATATTCAGGCGGACCTGCTTTATGTTGAACGCCAGGGATGGACAAACTTTATGATGCAGGCGAGAAGGACAGACTAGTCGTGGACTGAAGGCCCATGTTTGTATGCTTGCATGTATATTGTAATGTATGTTATTTTAGGGAGCTTATTAAGATTTGATTTACAGTTATGGATTAAACATTTTTCAATATCAGTTTGTGGGGATGTGAAAGTGTAAATGTACACACATCAACAACTTTTGCATTTTGTAATTTTGCGACTGGTATTATACTCTTATTTTGGGATAATGTCTTTTGAGACAAATGATCTTGATGGTTTTGTTAAATGAAAAAAAGGTGTTTTAGACTAAAAAAAAAAAACCCTTAGATATTATATTTGACTAATTCCTTTTATCATTATCACATGATAATTAGCCATTTAGTAATTTTGGCATGGGTGATCAACTATTTTAATTTTTTAGACTTATCGAGTATCTTTTGGATCAAAACATATTATCTTCTCTAATAAATATGAATTTTTTTGTCACGTGTTACATTCTTATTCATTTTTCCATATATCATTTTATGGTTATTTTAAATTAATTTTTATTCAACATGTCATTTTATGATTTTTCTATTTTATTAAATTTCATATAATATTTAAATGTAATAATAAATGCATATCAATTTCATTAATTGACTTTCCTTTTAATTTTAAAATTACAAAATTAAAGCCTCATTAGGTTTCTTTTTTTGTTTGTTTAAATTTAAAAGAGAAAAAAAACACTTTGATTTTAATAATTCAATATTTTTCTTATAAATTTAAACATCTCAATGTTTAGAATTTCATATTAAATTTATCTTATAAATAAACTCATATATTGCACGAGTTTCACATCTAATATACGATAACTGACGAAGACCTTTTTATCATATTGTTTGATTTTTAGGTTTGATAAAAACTTTTAATCTATCATTCGAAGGTGATTTTGCATAATTGATTAAATTAAAACCCCAACTTTGCACAAGATTCATGTTAGGGATACTTCTACATCTTACTATCACTGCTCGAATGTGTAAGGGTTGGGACACGACTACTCTGAGACGTGATCCTAGAGGTGGAGTTGAGCAGGAGCAGTAAGATGGGTTACTTATGATTGCTCGGAACGTCGAGCTTCAGTCGATACCTGATAGATTGGGTTGGATTATTGATACTGATGATATGTTTTTTTTTTCTTCTGCTCGTGGCTTTATAGATGGAACTATGCTTTTTACAAGCAGTGAAGTGGCTCGGTGGAATAATTGGGTTCCCATTAAGATTAATATTCTTATATGGAGGATTCAGCTGTTTAGTATTCTCACTAAAGAGAGACTTTCTCACAGGGGGATTATGGTAGAGTTGATTCTTTGTCCCATTTATTCTAGCAATATGGAGACTATTGAACATTTGTTCGCAGGTTGCACTGATCTTTTTATGATTTGGAGACGTATTGCTATTTAGCAGGGTATCCATGTGTTGTGACAAATCTCAGTTCATTCCTTGATATCGTGATCTAATTCTATTTCTATGAGAAAAGGCCAACAACAAACGTTTGATACAATAATTATGACTACTTTTTAGTGTATTTGGAATTTTCGAAATTCCACTATTTTTGGAGCAAAGAACACTTCTAAATCTATACTTTTTGATTCCGTTGTTTATAGAGCATTTTTTTTTTGGATTAGTAATAGACGTAGGAAAGCCAAGGTCATTTGGAACTCTTGGCTCCATAATCTATGTCCGACATAATTTTGATGTAATTCTTTTTTAACTTCTTGCTAGTTTTTTAATAAAATTTTCACCACTAAAAGGTAAAAAAAATCATCAGTTTAAATTATTAGCATATATTCTTAATAAACTAAAAATCTAGTTATTATTATTATTATTATTATTATTATTATTATTATTATTATTATTATTTGGTGGGACTTAGTTATGAAATCGGGAATCTTTATACTGGAATACAATACAATGGATATCTGATTTGAATAATAGAAAACTTATATGGCATAAAACACGTACTTTATTTACGTAATAACCTAAATAATATCACAACATTACTTTTTATAAGATAGGGATAATGAATCACAACATTACTTTTTATAAGATAGGGATAATGAATTCAAATGTAATAAAATTTTAAAAATATATAAACAAGATTATTGTTTTTTTTGGTACACAAAATACCTTTAAAGTATATTTTTTGTACCCAAAATACCAATGAAGTATATATGTGTTCAAATAAAACGTTGTGGTAACCGGTTATCTCAGGTAAACGAAAAATGATTTTAAAAGGTAACAAAGTTTCCAAAATGCTTAAAAAATACAATTATTTTTTTAGTATAAAAAATACCTTTGAAGTATATCATTTATACACAAAATACCAACAAAGTACATATTTTAGTACACAAAATACCATTGAAATTTTCAAAAAGTTAAAAAAAATCATTATTGTTTTGTCAGGGTACCTTTCGTTAATTTCGTTGTTTTTGGATTATATAGAACACAGTCATCGGAGATTAGTCACCGTCGTACCAGTTCACACTAGTTGTGTACTCTCTTTCATTCAATCACTCTATTAGTTTGTATCTAAATCTATATTTAGGAAATTTTCATGACATAATATCACACTCGTTTCTCCTTTGTGTCTCTCTTGTATTGCAACACTGATGAACGGATAACATTGATGTATAATATGTGCATCTATATAACGTATATGCGTTTTAGGTCTGAGGCATAAATGTGATCGGGAAGCAAGAATGTTTAACTAAGGTTATTACTCACTTACTTCTCTTGTTACCACAAGAACGATCGAGTGAAGGAATGAAAGAGATTTGTACAATTGTTGTGAACTGATATAATAGTTCATGATTTCCAATGATTGTGTTCTACATAATCCGACAACAACGCAGTTAACAAAAAGTGTGATATTTTTTGAACATTTTGGAAACTTCGTTACACTTTTAAGTCATTTTTTCATTTACCTAAAATATCTGGTTACCACAATATTTTATTTGAACACATGTGTACTTCACTGATATTCTGTGTATAAATAATAACATTAATGATATTTTTTGAACATTTGAAAACCAGGTAACCTAAAATAACCGATAAAATTGTATTTTTTGTACTTAAAAAAAGATAATGATCTTTTTTATATATTTACCTTTTTAAATCATTACGATAAGATGTCTACTATACTCAATTGTTTTTATTTTTATAATTTTATAATCACTTGCAAAATTGATATCCACAGCCACTCAAGTCATGCATATACGTATACAGGTAACGTTAATCATTATTTTTTTTAGATAATGTCATGCTTTTGACTTAGGAAGAAAATGACATGTGTTGAAAGTATGAAAAGCTTACCACCTCCAAACTTACAACATCCCCTACACGTGTCACAATCTTCTAACACGTGTTACAGACTTGCTCTGCCACCCTCCATCCTTCATCCACCTTAAAATCAAAACTCCCTCCCAACAACAACGGCAGAAAGATAAACATCACACAAAAAGATTTTGCAAAAACAACGTAAACACAAAGAATATCAGGCCTGTTAACAATGTCGGCAATGCATTTCACAAGAACAGGAATCTTCAACATATCTAAAGCAAATATCCCTCGTTTAACGTCTCTTTCTTTTACTCACAAAGCCTCGAGGGTTTGCTTCACTTCTGCCTCCAAACATTCTCAGGTATTATCAACATTCAAATGGATCGATTTCACTAGATTATATAAATGTTCGTGTTTAATTAACCCGTTATATTATATATGTCCTCGTGTTTTTCAAAGGGAAAACATGCAAGTGAAGAAACCAACAATGGGTATAACGCAGATGAAACAGTCGGCTACTATGGCGGCAAGTCATCGGATATGGGACGAGATCCAAAAGACAAAATGAAAGAAGGTAAAGAGAGAATGAAAGAAGGTGCCGGAGAAATGAAAGATGAATCCATGGATACTATGAAAGGAAAGGCTACAGAAATGAAAGACAAAGCAAACGACATGGCAGGAAAAGCAGCAGACAGAGCAGGTGACATGAAAGAGAAGGCGAAAGAAAAGAGTTACGAAATGAAAGAAAGTGCTAAAGAGACTGCAAACAAGGCAGCAGATAAAGCTGGAGAAGGGAAGAACAAAGCTGCAGAGATGGCGAAGGCTGCAAAGGACAAGACTATGGATGCTGCCGGAGCTGTGGCTGAGAAGACAAAGCAGACGGTGGCAGGAGCATGGGATGCAGCCAAAGATACGACGCAGAAGATCAAGGAGACTGTTGTTGGGACATCATCTGATGATGATGATGATTGGGGGGACGATCGTACAGGGAAAGGGAAAGGGAAAGTGATGGGTGAAGATGCTGTGAATCTAAGGAGGAAAGTTGGTAATCTTGATCATGAAAAGAAGGATTATTAATTAGTGGTTCTTTTTTGTTGATTTCTTTCTTTGTGTTTTAATTACCCCAAGATTTTTGGGTTGTTTAGAGATCTTGGATACCTGCAAGTTGCCATAATAATCTTCCAAGAGTGCAAGATAATGTTAATGTATATATGTTTTAAAAATTAAAACTATGTTATAGTTTACACATTTTGAAAAACATAAAGATAGACCAACATTGAGAAAATAACTCAATTAGATTTTTTTTTTTTCTAAAATCATAACTCAATTCTAACGATCTATATATAGACTTATATTCTACCTATATAGACTTATATTCTACCCTAACCTAAAATAAGACTAGGACTCTTAAAACTACTTTTTTTCAAAAACCCATTTTTATTTGGTCCCTAATTCCTATTTGATTTATTAGACTTAGGATCCTAATCTCTAAATTCTCTAGAGAATTCTTTAACCCCGATCCTCTCAAAGTCTTTTTAGAGAATTCTTCAACCCCGAAAATATAGATCGTGTCGGTGTTGTCACATTTTGAAAAATTCTTCAACCCCGATCCATATTTAAAATACGGGCAGTCATCACATTCTGCACATTCTGAAAAATCACGTTCTTGTAATTCTTGGAGATGTTCCAGACGCAAAATGACCCGGTTTGTCACACCTAAAACAAATCACCTTAGATCGGTCTTTTCCTCTATTTATCCGATTTTTGTCACATTTCCCCTATTTATCCAATTTTTGTCACAACAACGATTATAATTTTTGCAATTCGTGGAATTGGGTTGAGTTAAATCAAAATTGGCCTTGTGGTGATTGGGCTAAAGGAATACCAAATTACATGATTTAAGCCCACTTGACCCGTTAAACCCATTAAACCCTCCTAATCCATGATTACCGGTCGACACCCCTTTTCCCGTTGTTGATCTTTCCTTCGCTCCACCACATCGCCACCACCTGAGCCACTGCTGCTACTGATCGGTGACCAAGAACCTTCGGTTCTTCTCCTTCATCATCAACCTCCTTCACCCTCTCCTCGAGGCTGCCCAACCACATCCTCGAAGTCCACCATCTTCAGATCAAGGACCCATTTAGAGTTTGTAATCTTGCCTCTTTCACCCTACCAGCCCCTACATAACGAGGCTTGATCGATTCCCACAGAGCCTTTGAAGACTCGAATCGTCAATTTACATTATCAAGGTTTCTAGAATCGCCTGATAAAGCAACCCCATAGCAAGGTAATCTTTTTCCTCGTTCTTTTCTGTTCCTGGATCATACGCAGGACAACACAATGTAGTTGGTGGGTGTGAGCATCGGACAGACCACAAAAGTCGCTCCAACCTCCTTGATTTTCACCGGAGGAGGTTGTGCACCATCTTCTCCATCCGACATGTTGACCTAGCTTGTCAACAGGTAACAAAATCAATCCCACAGCCTTTGGTTCCTTGGCTCTGATACTAATTCAGGATCAACACAAATTAGATGGAATAACTCTCTAATATATTTAGAAAATAACTCAAAAGTCAACTAGATTGTGTTACATTCTAAAATCATAACTCGCTTCTAATAATGTATATATAGACCTATATTCTACCAATTTGTAGAACATGACAAGGACTCTTAAACCTACTTGCTTAAAAACTCATTCTTACTTGGTCTCCAAGTCCTACTCGACTTAGGATTCCAATATCTTCTTGATCTACAAAAGATTATAACTCAAAACTCAACTAGATTATGTTACATTCTAAAATCATAACTCGCTTCTAATAATGTATATATAGACCTATATTCTACCGATTTGTAGAACAAGACAAGGACTCTTAAACCTACTTGCTTAAAAACTTATTCTTACTTGGTCTCTAAGTCCTACTCGACTAAGGATTCCAATATCTTCTTGATCTACAAAAGATTAGAGAACTTATGAAATTAAAATAATTGATTTCATATTAACCACTAAACAAGAGAGTAATATAATAGAATGATGCATTTTAAGAGCAACCTAATATACTTGAAAATTCAAATTACAATCTTTTAATGGAAAGAAATAGAGTCGAAGCTAGGCATCCACAATGCAAACATCATGTTTTTTACATTTAATATAAACTAGGAAAGAGCCCATACGAAAGCATGGGTTGGAAATAATTTAAAGTTTCGTAAAAAAAAAATTGACTGGAAATAATTTAAAGTTTTCTAAAATAAAAATTGGCACAAAAGTTACAATTTCCAAAAATATGTAACGACGAAATCCAAGAGTATACAGTAGGGTTGACTACCTATTGACCAAGGAAGGGACAAATGTGTAATAAACATAAAGTATTGTGCGGAAAAAGTATGTGCTAAAAAAGTATCGAAATAGAACAATGTTGGAAAAGGAAGGGACTAAATTAACAGTTGAACATACTTATGTGGGTGGAGATTGTAGTGGTAAAAACTGAAAGGATGAAAACTATGAAACCCCCAAAGAGTGGTGGAGGAAACCCAAAATCCAAAACTTTACCATTGAAACATCCACTTTGCTTTTAATATATGTATATAATATCAATTTTTTTCTCTGAATTTCAATAGAAAATTATAAAAAACTAATTTATAGTATATATTTAAAAATTAATTGAATCCATCGGTGATATAATCATTTAAATGACAAATGCCTATCTCATTTAATTCTTTTATTAAACTTATCAATGTGGATGCGCGAACATCATTTAGTTATCCTATTAAACTTATTAAACTTATCAATGTGGATGGTCTAATACACAAAGAGATAATGGTTATTATTTTTTTTGTATAACTCGACTTGATTTGTAATGTGTTGTTTGTTTTTTGTCTGCATATCTTCTTGGTCTCTTCTGTCTGCACCACACAGACCACGTGCAATTTGTTTTTTAGAAGATTGCAGACCTAAAAATGTATGTGCATCCTCTTCTTAGTGCATATATGGATCAGAGTCTTCTAATATTTTCAGACATCTTCTAGCCCAAAAAAACACATATATCTTTATTTTATTTTTTTTAATTTTTATTTATTCCAACTTTATTCATGATAAACAATTTGGAAAAAAGAATGTTACAATACTTAAAAAGAAAAAAGTTTGACGACACAAACACAACATTTTTGACAAATTTATAATAAAGATTAATTACAATAATGGTCGTTGAAGTTGTTTATATACATATGAAAAAAAATCATAATATATGATTATATTCTTATATTTTTTGTGCTAAAATTTTAAAATATTATTTAACATAGTATTGTCAATTTCTTGGGAAAATATTTATGATACGTTTTTATTGATTTAATTGAAAAAATTAAAGTGTATTTCCATCCATTTATGTATTAAATTCTTTGATTTCTAATTACAATGTTTAGGTATACTTTTACGACTAAATTTTTTGGTTTTTATCAAATATATATATTAATTCGTACCATTTTATTTTCACTTTTTATACAATAATACATAAAAGTTGATCTTGATTTATTTATTATTTATAAGAAAGTCATAAAAATATTAAAAATCACTTTGAAGTTTGAAAAAAATCAATTTATTTGGATTTTAATTTATTTTAGTAGCCTGCAGATGTTAAAAAAACAATAAGTCTTTTTTTTTCAGACTGTAGACGTTTGGTCTACCTCTTCTACTGCAAAGATCTATATATATGATTCGCAGATCACAAACATTTTGCTCCAGAAAAGACAAACAACACCAAAATATGTGTCGGAAGATCCTCGTAATTAGAAGGACACGCTATATGTTATTAACTTCTTGCATTTTCTTTTTGTATTTTACATTTGTTTCATATGACTTGTTATGATGGTAGAAGTTGACAAACGGTGGATTTTCATATTGGATTCTTTGATAACAAAGTAGAAATTTAATTTCTTGTCGGCATCGCCAACTCGAAGCACACGTAAAAATGTAGTTTCCGAAACCGATATGTATTTGTATTAATTTTAATATAAATCGTATTCCATGTTATTTAGTATTGTTCCGAAAGTTCAATGATTTGAAACTCGGATGCAACTCATCTTACTATGTCCTTAAATAGTTAAATGTACCTAATATAATTTCTAAATTTGTTTGATTATATACCATAATTGTCAAACTCATGTAGTCACCGATCGTGCAAAAACGCAAATAAAGGAAACTTTTTATCGCATTAAGATAAGACATCTACTGTTTTCTGAAAAATTGATGGTAAGTTGGATATGCAACTCCAAAGACAAGATACAATCTTAATCCAAGATCTTACTTCTATTTATGAAATTAAAATAACCTCTTACTTTATAAACGAACTAATAATTATCTTATTTTTAAAATAGTTTTCACTTCGACGAGAAGTTTCGGGCCAGTTATGAAATCAAAATTAGATTGCACATCATTGAAAATATGTATGATAGCAATAATACATTCGTATATAGCTTACAAGATTAAGTTTTGTTACTACTAAGAAAGACATCTTTTGAAGTCTTTACTGAATTCAAGATACATAATTTCAATTCAGAGAAAAAATTCTTATTTGTAAAAACAGTGCAATCTAAGTGAAGTACTTCAGAATCTGAAGCATTACTTTCTTGAGGAGAAAAGGTATCAAAATGTTAATTTTTCTTTTCTTTCAGCAAGAAAAGCATATCAACCCTTCAAAACACCTTCCTTCTCCAATCAAGTTTCAATCTTTTCCCAAAAAAAAATCGAGTGAAAAAGAAATGGCTCCTAAGATTGTGGTTGATGATATTGAACAACATGTTCTCGAAAAAATCAGTCATGGCATTCAACGTATAGGTGATCAGCAAAATCTAATGACTTGATACTATTCATTAGATTCTGATTTTAATGATGTCAAGGACATCCTCACGCATACAAGAAATTTAGATTATAATGGGGATTGGTTAAGTGCAAGAAGGGGTGTTCGTTTGGATAGATCGATTCGATCTGATCCAATTAACTAAATCCAAATGAATTTCGGTTTTCAAAATATGGATCCAAATAGTCCAAACTAAATTCAAATCCGATCTGATCCGATTCAATTA